GCTAATAAACTATCGATAGCTTTCATATCAATAATATCATCTATTTGTTATGATGCACAACTCTAATATTTACGCGTACAATTTCTTCGTAAAGTATACTCTACGGTTTCGCTAATGGTCAGGTTTTCTGCGCGAAATTTGTTTGTTTATGGTACTGTATAAATCCCTGACTCGTGTTACGTATTCCGGACGCAGTGTCGCATATGTGTAGGTTTTATTCATCAGGGCTTGAGGTGCCTTCGCATGCGGGTTATTTTTCATACAGATACCTGACCGTTTTGCGGGTTGAACTAGCGGCGAGTTGTTTGCTACATTTCTGATAGTTGGGAGTGAGATTGCGCGATGTGGAAACTCGTATCAGGGGATTTTGTAACAACACATCTTTAGTCTAAATCCATCAAATTTGTGTGTAATTAATGTAATGGGAAGATGTAACAGAAATATACAAGCTTTAATTTCAACAAACCTGAATACGCAACTTTAGTGAATAACCTTCAAGAGAATTTCAGCAAGCAGTTGCGAAAAATACGTTCAGCCAGCGACAGACAAGTTTTATTTAAAGTATTTTTATTTATGTGGCTTTACAGTTATTAGGTTTGTTTGATTGAATCCCACTAATGACTAAAAACTAGGAATTTCAAGAATTTTTCTTCATATTTAAATATGAGACCTAGTTGCAATTAAACTCGTCGGCAGATGAAATATTACAATTAACTCGAATCACAGTTACGGCACCAAACTGCCAATTGAGTAACCTTCAATATTCGAAGGACGCCTCTTCGGATCCAATTTTGCACCACTCTTTCCCGCATATCGACCTGAACGTTGACAATTTCGAATTCGGTATTGTGTCTGAGATCCTTTAACGTTGTTAGCTTCTTGACATAAACCAACGACTTAACGTAATCCCATAAAAAGAAATCTAACGGCGCTAAATCGACGGGATCCCGAGATTACACGGTTACCCAACTCCTCTTTAATAAATCAATTCTTTCGCCACGATGTGGTTTAAGCGAATCCAAATTCCACTGATTTGGCTCATTTTAAACTAAAGCACTTGCTGCTGCGATATTTTCTGGCACAATTTCCGATCATTGGTTCTTGGTGTTTATCAATAACATCATGAGGGTTCTTAGATTGCGATAAGAGATTATTTAGCGATGATTTAAACCTAAATCTTTTATGATGTTTTTTTCTAAAATGATTATTGCGTAATAATTGGGTGACGTCTAAACCCAATATTTGTAATCTTAATTTCTCTGACTTAATTTAACCCCAAGTTTACTTGGAGGATTATTTACTTTGCTTTTTGCGTTGATTAGATCGCGGTTAGAGTACGCGGTGTATGGATCTATTTGTTTATCCTTCTGGATGTTCCAATTTTGAGGTTTAAACTTACGCATTTATACACTTCATATTAATCTACTCGAGACGGGTCAGGCGGAAGATGGAAACTTAGGGACATCAATAATAATAATCCTAGGGTAGCGCTACGGAATATTTTGTACTAATTGGCGCTATGATTTTAACACTTCCATCAAGTTATTTGGATTTCTATCTGTCAAGGAATTCCTGGCGAATTCTCAACTTATCCTCTTACTAATCAATTTTGGGGTCTTCTCGATCAAATTTAACATGTAGATGAAAATATTACTAAAATCCTTTAAAAAATCTTTTGTAACAACTAATATTGTTAAATAAGATAAAATAAATTAATCCCTCATTTATGAATACAAAAATTGTACGACATCAAACTGCAAAAACATAATATAACACTACTAAATTTGAAACGTATCCAATTGTAGCTTTCAATACCTACGAGTTGATTAACTGCGTTTCTTTGAAGGTAATTAGAAAGCTCCCATTTGGTATGCTGTACGGTTGAAATAGTCTCGAATGAACTATCGATTTCCTAAACTTTAGTACGTGATGTAGACAAATTTCTTAACTTGTCAACTATAAAAGCGTACGTGCATTTTTGAAAACTTGCCGATTTCGCATATGTATTGTTTTGTTTTATTTGAAAGAATCCTTCAATTTCAAGTTTCCACATTGCAATTTTAAGATATATGTTCTTCATCATTATCGACGCAGTCGCAGTTCATTGAGTTGAAAATGGTTCATTCCGTTACGAGTTTTATATCCGTTACGTGTCAAAACAATAAGGCATTTTTACAAGCCAGTACGTTTTTCAGGTTTTGTTCTTTTAACCCGTGTCGTATCTATATGCAGCTCGGGAATATACGCACAAAAGGAATTTAAACTACCCTAACACGACAGCCGGGAGGATCAACTTCTTAAAACTTCACATTCCTAAGCCAAGGAAATGGCTGTCCTTTATTACAAAGTACATGAACTATATATAAATTTGTTGGATGGTTTAAAGTGAGTTGGTCATATATCAAAATTAAGATTTTCACATTTTTGTTACTAAATTAATTTACATATTGTAAATCATGATCATTTGGGGTTTTAAGTGTTTTGGGAGTTCAACTTCCCCAAAAGTATTTTCCAAATGTTTTTATGCGTGCGTTATTTATGTTTTATTTTCTTTAAGAGAGGTCGAAATGCGTATTGGGCCCTAAAGACCCATTAGAGGTGAAACTTCTTCTTTGTTAAGATTTGTTTGCTTGAGCTCCCCTTTCATCAAACAAAAATATTTTCCATTATTTTTAAGCTGATTACTGTCTAAATAGTTTAAAAAAAGCTGAATTAATTCATCTCATAACTTAATTAGAACAATAATAAAACACAATTTTAAAGTTTTTACTATTCCATCTTCTTTATTAATTTCTGTGCTGTTTTCTTAATCTTAAATTATTAAAATCACGACATTAAAAGACAAGATTTCTTTAAATGTTTAGACGTGTAATTTTGGTGGGTAGCTTTGAAATTACCCATTTCGATGCGCGTTTGTGTCTTCTGAAGTTAGTTCGAGTTTGCGAATATTATGAACGAAACTTTCCGCAATTTCCGCAAATTTTACTTGTGTCAAGTGTTTCATTAAAAATTCTGAAAGTTTCAACTTCTTACTTATTGTAATTCGGTTAGGACTTTTAACAAAAAATTAAAAGAAAATTGTTGCTTAATGTCTTTTTGAGTAAATAATTTGATTATAAATTAATTATTCGAATATTTAATTCAAATCTATAATCGTTTTAAAATTCCTCGTTCCAAGATTAGTTTTGAATCGATCATTATGTACTAACACAGTGTTTATAATATTCAGCTTTCTATGAGGCTTGAAATTTTTTATTATCGATTCCACAACGAAAAAGCAAAAAAGATAACTTATGAGTTGATTAAGGTTATTAGAAATCGTAACGGTTGTAATCGTCGTGAGTTAGAAGGATTATATTTTACCTACAATTGTTGTGTTGACAGCTGTAATAGCCAGTTATAATGGATGGTGAGAATTGTGGATAAAACTAGTTCTGCCGTATTTTCAAAGTCATAAATTTTCAATTTAATAATCAATTGCTAAAAATAATTTATCTCAACAATCTAAAACGTTAACGAACAACGAACCGATTGTTCATAATCAAAGTTAAAATAAAAACATAAAAAATAATTTTTCACCTGTCAAAAAGTTAATCTATATTTATAATTTGTAACCTGTTATTGGAAATTCTTGTTTTATTCAAATGGATTTGCGAGAAGTGATTAAAAAATAAAACCAAGAATTATGTATTAGAGTTATATCAGAGAAAGTTTTAGTTGGGAATTTCCGCATAAATCTGTATCTCTGGTAAAGTGAAAAATTGATTACATTACTCGTCTTGCATACAATATGTAACCAGTATCGAGAAACAGTTTGTGACCGTCATCGTAAGATTTATCATGTAAAAATCTTGTACTTCTTACTTATTTATAACTCCAACTACTGATACTAATAATACAACAATCATAATAAATTGATACTTATTTATTTTTGATTTACATATCTAAAGCTTTACAATGGAAAATTAATACATTATTAGAAACACAACAATGCAAATAGTTTCGACTAAATTAATATTGAACCTCATTAATTATAGTCTTTTTCAAACATAAACCAACACAATCATTACGATGAATCCATATATCCTATATAACTGATCATTAATTACACAAACTTGATTGGATGATTTATAATTTCCTATTAGCGATCGGTATGTTATGGGCGAAAACGCAATTATCGACTTTAGATGTAATCAACCTAGAAGATTAGTGTTACAAATTCATAATAAACAAATATCAACATAACTAATCTACGTTTAAATTAACAAACGATAATTTTGTTATTAATATAAAAGTTTAAATAGAAATTTTAATGTTCCTATAAAAAATGCGGGATGAATGTTAATTGATCAAACAGTTTCAATTTGAGTATCTGAAAGCATTTTTCGGTTCCAATATAATCATGATACGATAAAATTTCTCCGTGTTTAGTGGTACATAAGCATCATGGCGAAAACAGTCAAAAGCTATTGAATTGAAACAAAGCGTTTGGGTACAAAGCAGTACTTGTTATCGACTACTTGTCATTTCATAAACAACGTACGAGTGCAATTAGTCAACGTGTTAATTTTTCCATTGATACCACGCTTTTTTTTTAAACGTTTTTTATAATAAAAGCTATTAGGACTTTTTTATTCAATCTTTATAAAAATACAATTTCATCTGTACAAATACACAATAACTTGCAAATGTCGATGCTGTCATCTTTGCTTTCAGGCGCAGAAAACATCCTTAAACCGTTTTGTTTGGAGCTGAATTCTGTTTCCTTTCAGTTTTATTCAACTATGTCTAAATAAACATTATAATTAGAATACTTTCGAAACAAAATTTTACTTGCACTCTTCATCCAACAATCAAGAGATTGTGAAATGAATGAATCGATAAACATTACGACTACGTTACTGTAACGATTTCAGTTTAGGCTGCCTCAAAGAAAAAACGCGCCTTGAAAAACTTGACGTCGAATATAAATTGTTGATTTCTTCATTTAACCAATAACTGTCTTAAAATAAACTCCTGGAAACATAAGCTTTGAGGGATATTGAAGCCTATTTATTGCCATAATCATTTTAATCCATTTGTGACTCTAAATTCTATAAGGAGAAATCGGCCCCATATCTTTTGTGAACCTATTTCAACATTAAATTACCCTGGGGTTGAATGTACGACGAAAAATAGTTTATTTAAACTGGCAAATCGGCGCTACAGCTGTTTCGGTTTTACAATTAAACCTTCCTCAGGCACGACTGAAAGAGTTTACAATATAGAAAAAATAATAACATGCCTACAGAAGCCAAATCTAATTACCGTCAATATAGAAGAGCAATCGTAAGGGGAAACAAATCGGAGGGACACCAAGCGATTTCAGGAGCTAAATCCATTATCTTGTTTTATTTTTTTATTTTTATATACAAAAAGTTAAAAAGCCAAATGGCTGTGTTACAATTTAGGGAAACTGCTCGAAGAGCGTGTTTGTTCCCTAAAACCTGTTTTATTTGAAGGTTAACTGCAAAAATGCGTAATTAGTTCAAATTATTAGAGAATTAGTGAAATTTACCTATTTTTCGTTGTAAAAGAATATGATTCAACAACATATCGCAAGAAAACACAAAAATTAATGTTATTAACAAAAATAACAAAAATTAACAAAAAAAGAGATTAAAAGAGTACGATCTGGCGTGAAGCGCTTAGACGTCTAACGAATTTTAAGATAGGGGTTATGTTGGAAGGTCGCAAAAGACGTCGACGCATGCGTGGTAAGGTGGTATTATTCTATGAAAGCTACATTATAAAAGCAATATCTGAAATTTATTCTAAAACTATCTATGTAAAGGGTAAAGCGATGGATCAGGTGCAAGCAACTACAAATATTTGAGGAAGAGCCTATGATAGTTGAAATCGGTAATATCGTTAAGTAAATTGTTATTTATGTTATTGATATGAATGTAATATTCTTCATACAAATCCAGTTCTTTAGATTTATTAGCTTGTTTAAGAATTTTCACATTGTTGAAGGAGGTGTTATGATTTTCAGTTTTTAAATGTTTATATATGGCTGAGTTTTCCTTATTCATGTGTTCCCTGAACCTGATCATAAAATTACGGCCAGTTTGACCTACATAGAGCTTGTCACAGTCGGAGCAGGCAACGCTATAGACTCCGCTCATCGCACCGAGGGCAATCTTGGGTTTAGTATTATTCAAGATTTGATTAATTTTTTGATCAGAGATAAAAACGGGGTTGATATTAAACTCTTTCAGACCTTGACCGATACCATGCTGAAGTGAAGGTATATAGGGTACTGCGAGGAAAGTGGAAGGGGCTGAAAAATGGGGGTATATTAGTTTGTTAATATGGGATTTATGAACTTTGTTGTATATCTGCTGAATGTCAAAGAAACTATAGCCATTATTGAAACCTATGTTTAAAATTTTTTTAACTTCGGTGGTGAAATCGGAGAATTGTAGGGGTATTTTGAATAATCTGTCGAACATAAAACGAAAAGAAGCTTCTTTGTGACTGTTACAATTAAATGAGTTTTTTGGGATAATGGCATCTGTGGTAGTAGGTTTTCTGTATATGTTAAAATTTAGTTTATTTTCTGTTAAATCTTTGGAGATTATTAGGTCGAGGAAATTTATGCTATTTTGGTTTTCTAGTTCTATGGTGAATTCAAGGTTGGACAAGTTGTTAAAAATGTTCAATAGGGCATGTAATTTAGCATTGTTGCCCTGGTATACGATCAAGATATTATCAACGTAGCGACCGTAAAATACTATGTCTGAGGTAAAGATGTGATATTTACTAGAAAATAGTTCATGTTCAATGGAATTAACAAAAATCTCTGAAATAATACCCGAAATGGGTGAACCCATGGGGAGCCCATCCTGCATTTTGTAAACCTTGTTGTTAAATTCGAAAAAGTTTTGATCGCATACCAGGGCAAGAACGCGAGTGAAAGCGTCCACCTCAACATGGGAAAGGCCAAGCCTGTTAAGGTTTTAGATGAGAAAATCATTAATAATTTTAAGTGAAGTTTTTATGGGGATGTTACTGTAGAGGTTCTTTATGTCTAGAGAAATTAATCGGTGTTTATTAGAAATTTTCAGATTTTTTATTCTGTCAATGAGGTGAGACGAATTTTTGATACTGTAGGAAAAACGTTCATTAAAGGTTTTGAAAAGGAAAAATTGTAGGCTTTTAGCTAATTTGCTTGTGGGTGTGTTTTTGTTTGTAATTATAGGTCGGATACTGTGTTCTTTCTTATGTAGCTTTATTAAACATTTAAGTGTGGGAGTAAGGGGGTTCATGGTAGCAAAGTTATAAGTGGTTATGTTAAAAGGTTGCAAGGCTAAAAGATTTTCTTTAACTAATTTTTTGATTTTGTTGTTGGGTTGGGTTGGGTTTTTTTGAATTTGGAATATGTTGTTTTCATTGAAAAATCTCTCTGTTTTCTCTATGTAAGTGTCTCTGTTTAGAATTACATAACCTGCATTCTTGTCACCCATTGTCAGAATAAGATCGTTTTCGGAAATTTTTTGTTTAAAGGATTTAATGTCTCGGCGGATGGAACGATAAAAGGAGTTGTTGTTGTTTTTAGTATTAACATTTTTTATAAGATCGTGATTAGTTTGAAAAATTTATTTTAAGTTTTGGTTGTAAAGGAGTTGAGATTCTATTTTTATAGCGAAGTCTACTGGTTTAATGGCTCCTGGAAGCGAAAATTTGTGGTTTAGATTAAGAATTTTTTGATCTTTTTCTGTGAGTGTTAGAGTGCTGAGATTAGTAAATCTGGGAGCGAAATTAAAGTTATCTAGATTATTTATTAATAAAGTTAGAGTAGGGTTTTTATGATCTATTCTTTTAGCTATAAAATTAGTGCTAGGGAGGGAGTCATCAAAACAGCGAACAGAGGCTATGTCTATGTTAGAATTATTATGAATTGTTTGTAGTTGGGTATTGTGATATATGATGTTATTATTTTTGGGTTTTACCTTAGGTTGCCCGCTCCGACCACGACGCTCATTGTTTTTCTTATCACTAATTAGTCTATCAAGTTTTTGTGCTTTAATTTTTTTAGAATGTACAGTGGCGAAGTGAATGTCTTCTTTGACCTTACTATAGATCCCCTCGAATTCTAAGTGGTGTAGTTGTTTTGCAAGACGTCTGTGAATGAACTTTAGGATGGTGTCGCAATCCGAAAGCTTCCTGTATTGTATTCTGATGTTTTTCTTGATGCTTTTAACTATTTTTCGTCGTACATTCAACCCCAGGGTAATTTAATTTAAAACCTTACGATGAATATCGAATCTCAACTCTCTAAATCTATTTCAACATATTTTCTAATCGGAAATTCACCAATTAAATCCTCATACATTGTTGAAGCATCTGAGTAGTAAGCATGGGGACGTTGTTGAGCATGTGAGAAATTATCTAAAAAAACAACATTTTTTTAGAAATGAACAGCAGTAACACGTCTTAAACAAACTTGTAAATTTCTTGAGACTCGACTCTATACGAGAAGTATATTGGGTTCAGAATTATTAACTTCAAAAAGAAGACGTCTTATGATATCTCGGTACTCTAATCATTAGTTACGCTTTGTTGATACCACTAGAACATGTGTGCCATAACAAATAAGACAATTTATATACGTGTTTTTCTTTCAGAGTTAAATAAAATTTGCTTACCAACCTAGTATTGATTTATATGTAAATTTATCAATTTTTATTTTGATCAATTTTGATAACAGGGTAGATATTTTCATAACACATCGTTCCTTCTGAATAATGTTATATATTATTAAGCTTATTATGTATTTTAATCCATTATTAAGTTGTGCTGACCCTATATAATTTACAAGGGTATTTATGATACCTTAATTAAACTGCCTTTACATATTGGTGGGTAAATTTGAGCGTGTCCAAGTAAAATTACACCGCATGTGCTCTACTAATTACCGCATCCCCTCGCAGCTCTTATTTGAATTAGTGTTACTAATTACCATAAAAGATTACGAATCGATAACATTACATACATACTAGTCCATGTTACATAACATTAAAAAAAATTATGATTGTAATTTGTACATTTAATGTGTCCATACTAAGACGGTAACTGTTAAAGTATATAAAGCATAATAATCAAAAAAAAAACAAATAAAGTTGTTGTAAAACACTTAACTATCATTCGATTTTCCGCGACCTACATTTACAAAGGATATGCGAAAACTTTGCGAATAAAACTTTTTCTGCCCACTTAGTTCTCTACTTAGCCATCTAATTTATCTGGGTTATGTAATAAATTTTTACCATTCCGATGTATTATTTGTCGCAACCTCACTCTTGTATACATTTCATCATTCATTTGATATTCATTAACATTGTCTTTTTACAACATTTTATTAATTTTGAAATCAACGAAGTTACTCATTTAGTCTCCCACAATATGGGAGACTCCCAAAAAAGTTATTAAAAGCTCTTTATGTTTTTGTAAGATTTTGCACATCACATTAAAAATACTAAGTTGTTATAAATAAATGAAACAAAAAAATAATAAGGCTAGCGAAAAATATATGTTTCAAAATGTTACCACTATTTAGTAATATTTAGTTTGTAATGTTAGCTTAAATTGCAAAGTTATATTATGATATTAGAACGCAGAGAGAGAAATTTCTGTACAAAGTTAGTCTTGCGTATACTAAAGATGAAAGCTTTAGATGGTTACAAAACGAAGTACCCCTACTGTGTGAGTTACACTACAAAAGATTGCGTGAGAACCGCGAGACAATCAAGTTGGTTGCAAATAAATATGTCAAAATTTCGTACATTAATTCATTTATACATACCAAGTTTTTATTTTTAATAAAAGAGATATTAAAAGCATTAATCTTTATTTTCTATTATTACGAAAAAAAATCCTCCGAAACTGTTCTTGCTTGAGATATACGATCAAGTTAATTGTCTTATTTTGTTCCTCCTATGTTCTTTCGCAATTATTTGGAGTAGCAAAAAGGACAAATCAACGTTGGGCACGTCAATTAGAAGATATTTGATATTTGATCGTTTGTCTCCAGCTAAATACCAATTATTTTATATTTTATTTAATTTTTTGTGAGTTTTCCATATTTCATTCCAAGAATCGGATGAAATATATTATATAGAAAGGTTAGTGTTTCTTCACATTTCAAATTAAAGACAAAACGTAATTAAAAATGACATGTTTATTAAAAATTTTCAAATGAGGTCAACTTTATGAATACTCCGACAATATTCTTTAATTAATTTCTTTTTAATTTAATTACTTTTTCCCTCAAAATAACTTCTTTCTGAAGCTACACAACGCTGGAGACGGTTCTTTCAATCCTCATAGTAATGCTAGAACTCCAATACTGGAATAGCCTTGAGCTGGTCGATTACAGCCTTTGAATGCTTTCGGGTGTCCCAAAATGAGTTTCCTTGAGGTGATTTTTCAATCTCGTGAAGAGGAAAAAGTTACAAGGACTCAAGTCAGGCGAATAAGGAGGCTGAGGAGCTACAAGAATGTTTTTACTGACCAAAAACTTGTGTATTGAAATTGCTGTGTGACAAGGCATATTATCGTGATGCAACACCCAGTTATTCTTGATGTTTGGTCTCACACGAATTTTTAAAGTTTTTCAAGAACCTCTCGGTAAAAGTGTTAAT